AAAAAAATTGTAGATAGATTTTCATCTTCGTTTTACATGATTATATAACTAAAACAGTTGGGTAATAATTTTAATTTACAGTATGTGAAACTATGGAACGTGGGATCGGCGCGGTTTTTGGACCGTTCCATCTTGAATCATCAAACATAGTGCAGTCACTTTGCGARACTATGGAAGTTCCGCGTATAGACACTAGTTGGGAAAACACACCTATTAAAAATTTCAATTTTTATTTCAATCCATATCCTGARCCAACATTGCTAGGAAAAGTAAAGCTTCAAGATATTTAAATTACATAATATTCTTTTAAATATAGTTTTGAATAAAATAAAYCAATTTTTATTATTAAAGGGTTATACGGCTATTGTTCATGATATGGACTGGAAATCATTCACGTTACTCTATCAGCGACCAGAATGTCTTCAGAGATTACAAGACTTAATCCAAGATTATTCGGGAAAAACAAAACCTAATGATAAACAAGCAGCAGCTATCTCTATTRTACAATTACCTGAAGGCAATAATTTTAGGTGAATTCTTATATAACATAAAAACTAAAGCATTTAAGATTTTTCAAATATTTCAATGTTATCTATTTGAAAATTATAGACCGATTTTAAAAGACATTAAGAAGTCTTTAGAAGGTCACATTGTACTTGACTGTGATGCAGATTTAATATCAACTGTATTCAAACAAGCAAAAGAAGTCAACTTGTTGGATGACTATCATAGTTTTATCATAACCTCATTGGTAAGAACTAATYGTATTCTATTCATTAATGTAATTCGTTTCGTTTAGTAAAAATCAAAAAATCGGTTTTTGGTTGTAGGATGCACATACGGTAGATTTTAGTGGTATTGTGCAGAGCTTGCGTACAAATATAACAACTGTCCGGTTAATTGATCCATTAAGCCCATCTGTGGAAAATATCGTGAGAGATTTGAATTTTGTTCAACAAAGAATGAATTTGAATATGGCGCCTTTGAAAGCTGACAAACTTACAGTCAATGCAATACTCATATATGACGCAGTAAATGTATTTGCTAAAGCATTAAAAGGTCTCGGTATGACAAATAAAATCATCACTGAACCACTCCAATGTATAAAYTCGCCATTTATTCCTTGGTCCAATGGATTTAAACTTATAAATTTCATGAGAGTAGTAAGTATAGTTTTTCTCGTGCTCATTAGGYAGTCATTGAATAACATATTGATGATGGTTTCAGATTGAAACTGAAGGACTGACTGGTCTGTTACGCTTTGACAGCAAAACTGGTCATCGATCATACTTTACACTAGAAATGGTAGAACTAGTTGATACTGGTTTTAAAAAAATTGGCTTATGGGATCCAGAAAAAGGTATGACTTATACGAGAACCAGTCTTGAAATGCTTCGTGATTTATACTCCGGGAGTAAGAACAAAACATTTATTGTTTCATCAAAAATCGTAAGTAAAAACGAATATATACTCATATGTATATTATACATATCACTGTTAACAATGTTAACATACTAAATATGTTTAGATGAATATGTTTTTGTTCATACCATTAGTTTTATTATAAAAAATTACAGAGTTTTCCTATATTTRCATTGATAGACAGAGCCGTATTTAATGTTAAAAGAAGGCCACAATAAACTAGAAGGCAATGACAAATATGAAGGATACGTGGTGGATCTTATAGAAATGATTGCTAAAGAAATTAATATAACTTATGAATTTCGTTTAAGAAGTGATGGAAATGGAAAACGTGATAAAAAGACAAACAAATGGAATGGGATTATTGGTGAAGTACAGGAAATGGTAACGGATTTTTTTTTTTATAAAATATTGTATATTATTAGTTTTTACTTTTTATTTGTGATATTTATTATA